AAAAAAAAAAAAAAGAAAGAAATTGATGGTGAATGGCCAGAGTGAAAGAACTGGGAGTGGGTCCAATAGAAATTGTGTGTGTGCACTGGGCTCCCTGCTCAGCAGGGAGTCGCTTGTCCCTCTCCCACTGCCCTCCTGCTTTCTCATGTGCTCTTTCAAATAAAAATTTTTTTTAAAGATTTTATTTAATTGACAGAGAAAGAGACAGCGAGAGAGGGAACACAAGCAGGGGGAGTGGGAGAGGGAGAAGCAGGCCTCTGGCAGAGCAGGGAGCCCGATGCAGGGCTCGATCCCAGGACCCTGGGATCATGACCCAAGCCACCCAGGCGCCCAATAAATAAAATCTTTAAAAATAAATACATAAATAAGATTTAAATTCAATTAATTAACATATAGTGCATTATTAGTTTCAGAGGTAGAGTTTAGTGATTCATCAGTCTTACATAATACCCAATGCTCATTACATCATGTGCCCTCCTTATGGTGTCTGTCTCTTGGTCACAGCTCAGGTCTTTTTTTTTAAAGATTTTATTTGAGAGAGAGAGCACAAGCAGGAAAAGTGGCAGGCAGAGGGAGAAGCAGGCTCCTAGCTGAGCAAGGAGCCCAAGTCTGGGCTCAATCCCAAGACCCTGAGATCATGACCTGAGCTGAAGGCAGCCACTTAACCGAGACACCCAGGCTCTGCATCAGCTCAGGTCTTGATCAAGGTCGTGAGTAGTCTATTTAAAAATAAAATATATCCTGGACAGCAACTATGTTGCTTACAAGGATTAACCCCAATATATCCATTATGGAGTACAAGGCTTTGAAACTGAAAGCACAGTAACAGCCAGGAAAAAGGGGGGGGGGGACAAAACTTTAAGCAGTTAAATAGTTTCCACCACACACCCACCCCCGCCCCCCCAGGACTCCAAAAATTATTCGTATTTAATTATGCAACTTAAATTTACCTACATGCCTCCCTCTAGGTCTGCACTGTCCAATCTGGTTGTCTCAGGCTATGTGGGACTGGCTATTGATAAGTCAAAGTTGGGATGTGTTAAAACATACACCCTGGGTCTTAAAAACATGTAAAATCTTTAAAAAATATATTGTATTATTTATTTTTAAAGATTTATTTGACAGAGACAGACACAGCAAGAGAGGGAACACAAGCAGGGTGAGTGGGAGAGGGAGAAGTAGGCTTCCCGCTGAGCAGGGAGCCCGATGTGGGCTTGATGCCAGGACGCTGGGATCATGACCTGAGCAGAAGGCAGATGCTTAACCGAGCCTCAAAATTAACTGATTACCTGTTGAATTATTTTAGATATTATAAAGTTAGTTTCATTTGTTTAAACTTGGCTATTAGTGTTTTAAATTACTGCTTTAGATGAGTGCAGGATGGATATCACTCATTATATATGGCCAGCACCTCAAATACTATGGATAAACACAGCAGTTAACGTAGTGCTTTCATTTCCACACTGCCTTTTAGAGATCGAGCCCCACATTGGGCTGCTCCATGCTCTGCGGGAAGCCTGCTTCTCCCTCTCCCACTCCCCCTGCTTGTGTTCCCTGTCAAATAAAAAATCTTTACCAAAAAAATTTTCTTTGGATTTTATTTATTCACTTCAGACAGTGCGTGAGCGCCCATGTGAGCAGGGGGTAGTGGCAGAAGAGGGAGAAGCAGATTCCCTGCCGAGCAGGGAGCCTAATACAGGGCTAGATCCCAAGACCCTGAGGATCATGACCTGAGAAGGCAGACGCTTAACCAACTGAGCCACCCGGGTGCCCCAGCCCATAAAAATTTCTTAAAAGATTTTATTTGACAGAGAGACACAGCAAGAGAGGGAACACAAGCAAAAGGAGTGGGAGAGGGAGAAGCAGGCTTCCCACTGAGCAGGGAGCCTGATGCGGGACTTGATCCCATCATGACGTGAGCTGAAGGCAGACGCTTAATGACTGAGCCACCCACGCGTCCTGCCCATGAAAATTTCTAATGAAATTGATTTCAGACACAGCTAACCTGAAAAATTTGAATCGTGGGGACTCCAGAATGAAAAAAAAAACCACTGTCATTCCCCCAGAAACTTGACTTTGTCACTGAAGCATGATGAAGAGACATTTCTTTATAAAATAATTGGCTCTAGGAAAGCGTAATTTATTTTTTTTAAGGATTTTATTTGACAGAGAGAGCACAAGCAGAGGGAGAGGGAGAAGCAGGCTTCCTGCTGAGCAAGGAGCCCGATGTGGGACTCGATCCCAGGACCCTGGGATCATGACCCAGGCGGAAGGCAGCCGCTTAACCGACTGAGCCACCCAGGCATCCCTAGGAAAGCGTAATTTAAACATTTACCAAAATACTTTAAAAAAAAATCTTGTAATACAACCACACATCACTTATCACAAAACATGCCCAATAAGCAAGTTGGCCAGACTTATGAACTCATTTTAAAAAGAAAGGTGTAACAGGCACCTGGGTTGCTCAGTTGGTTGTCTTCTGACTCTTGGTTTCCGCTAAGGTCATGATCTCATGCGCTGTGGTAGAGCCGTCTCAGGCTCTGCACTCAGCAAGGGGTCTGCTTGTGAAGGATTCTCTCCCTCTGTCCCTCCCCCAACTGTCTCTCTCAAAATAAATTTAAAAAATAAAGGTGTTAAGTTTTACCATTAAGTACACTTCCCTTGTATTGTGCTAATACAATGTGGAGTTGTAGGATTTTTCTAGGAAAAGGTGAGTCATGAATTTTGTAGTAATAAAAGCAAATGAATTTTAAGTTCTGTAGTCCCCTCCCTCCACCAAATTTATGCCCTATTTAACTTAGTGACAAAGTGATTTTCTAATATTTTAGTACTTTGTGCTACTGAAGACTTCAAAAGATTTAATGAGAAAAGGGCATACCAAGAACTTGTAATAAGGCACTTTATTAAAATAAAAGTGCTTACATCCCTTTAATGTATTAATCTATTTCCTGAATAACATATGGAATAATGAACAAATATTGTACACCAAGTCTGTTCCTTACAGTAGTAGGAAAACAGTATTATTATAATAAGTTTGTTTACTCCTAACTCCCTTTTACAGTTTTGCTCACCATGGTATTACCCAGAGCAGTTAACTGTTCTTAAAAAAAAAAAGGAATTTCTACCTAGTGTTCTCTAATAGCAATTGCAAAATGCTACAAAAAATTATGAAACAAATTCAAATAAGAATTCCAGGTAACTTAAATTAACACCAGTGTTGAGAAAACCATTTTTATTGTCATCACCACCCAGCGTATTTGTGCTGGATTATGTACCAAATGGCCAGATCTTCTAAAGAACATCTACATAACATTTCTTTCATGTTTCAAGAGATGAAAATAACTGTACAAGGTTAAGTACAAAAGTACACAAGACAGCGGACACGAAATATCCATGTATGAGATTTTATCCCACCTGCAGCTTTTATATATTTGAAAAGTAGAATTCATGAACTAAAAAATATTGTCCTTCTATAGTCCTGTCAAGTTTAATGGAAGTGTGTTTAACCTGATTACAACACTAACACCAGTATCACTGATCTGATATTTACAAAAAATCGTATTTTTCAATAAATTAAAGTCAATGCAACACCCATGCAAGCTAGAATGCTAGCTGTTTGGTGAACAAGGACCTGACATCAGAACCAGAAGTCCATAAAGTCCCAAACATTAAAGTCTGATTTTTTTCAAACTGCATCCATTCCTCGCATTGATGATGTGAAACCCAATCCCATTCCTCTTTGTGTGTGGGTCTGTGATCTTGCCATTTCATACTGAGCATCTAAATTTCTAAATACTTCTTCCTGTTGCTTCAAAGTCTTGTAACTTTCTTCATCAACTGAGCTACATCCAGCTTCATCTTCACTCTAAATTTCAGATAAAAAATATATTAAAATAAACGGAAATGAGACCAAGGTGTTCTTCTCAATTGACAGTACTGATAAATCACATTTTTAGGATACATACTTACCTTCCATTCATTCATTTAGCACCCATGGAGTGCGAGGCAATGTCTAGGTATTGGGATAAACCAGGATATAACAAAAATCAACTTCATTTTAGTGGGTATGAGGGAGAAAACGTAGAACATACCATTCAATATGTAAGTAAAGTCTAGGAGAAAAGCAGAAAATGGGGATGGTGTGCTTGCTATTTTTATCTTATTATTTTTTAAAAGGCTTTATTTGAGAGAGAGAGACTGAGACAGAGCATGAGTGGAGAGGAGAGGGAGAAGCTGGGTCTCCACTGAGCAGGGAGCCCTACGCGGGGCTGGATCCCAGGACCCCGGGATCATGACCTGAGCTGAAGGCACACACTTAAGCAACTGAGCCACCCGGGCTACCTGTGCTTGCTATTTTTAAAAAGGCAAATGAGAAAGGACTAAAAAGTTGACATTTGAGCAGAAACAAAAGAAAGGAATGATGCTGGGAGCTAAGAAAAGAATTAGAGCAGGGAAAGGTAGCAGCAAATGCAAAGGTTGTCTGGCAATGTTCCAAAAAAGCCAGTTTAGTTTAAGCTTAGTTTAAGCCAAATATCCCTTCAATGAAAAACCAACTCCCTTAAGTAATCAGTAAGTTTGTGAACTTTCTTCCAGATTGTTATATGAAATCTAATATGAAATCTGTACATTTCCACTTTATTCAAACAAAACAAAACACACACCAAGAAAAACAAAAAACAAAGCCACCAAAAAAACCCCAAAAAACCCTACATCTTTAAAAAAGCTTTCTGGAGGGCGCCTGGGTGGCTCAGTTGGTTAAGCGACTGCCTTCGGCTCAGGTCATGATCCTGGAGTCCCGGGATCGAGTCCCACATCGGGCTCCCTGCTCAGCGGGGAGTCTGCTTCTCCCTCTGACCGTCTTCCCTCTCGTGCTCTCTATCTCTCATTCTCGCTCTCTCAAATAAATAAAATCTTTAAAAAAAAAAAAGCTTTCTGGAAACATTAAATATTAAGGTCCGACTCCAAGTACAGTTTTTTTTTTTTTTTTAAAGATTTGTCAGATAGAGAGAGTGTGTGCGTGCGCCTAAGCACAGGGAGCGGCAGGCAGGGGGAGCTGCAGGTTCCTCGCTGAGCCTGATGTGGGACTTGATCCCAGGACCTTGGGATCATGACCTGAGCCCGGCAGACACTTAACCAATTGAGCCGCAACCCAGGCAGGACAACCCTACAGTTAGCTTTAAAGGAGCACTTTTTAAAAAGCAAATTCATTAATTCCCATTTACAATTTCATTTTTATTTACTAAGAAAAGCTTATGATGTAGAAAAAGGTTCATTTAAGGTATAAATAGGTTATAATCAACATTAATTTAAATTTAATAATCTGTATAGTCAGCTAATGATGACAACATAATTCTGTGAAATTAATCTGAAGCACAAAACGAAAAACCACCAGAAAGTACCCAGAGTTCATACATTACTGAAATTAACTTTTAGGGTGAGGACTGATGTTAACCTGAAAATGTTAAGTTAATATGAATTTTAATTCCAAGTGTGTAACTCACCTTAATACCCATTAATTTCCTGAATTTGACATTTTGGTCCTTGTTTCCAAAATTTAATTTTTCCCATATTTCAGCAGACTGGGATTTGTCCTGTAAAGAAACATTGAACTTTTACAATTCATAAAATTTAGCTAAGTAATAAGGTCTAAAAGAAATAACATTACAGCATTGTGCCATGCAGTTATAATTATTTTCAGATTTCTATTACAAAATAATGAAGCAAAGAAATAGAAGTACTTTATAATATATCATTTATGAAAAAGCCTAAGCCAAGGAGCATCTTCCCCCATTATAAATGTATGGGAATACTGTCTTTCTTTTCAATCGCTACTGGTTTTCTTAGATCAATCTTTTTCCAACACTAAATTGTGGTAAATTAAAACAATCAAGTTTATAGAAATAAATAAACACAAACCAATCTTTTTCAATCCAAATTTGTTTTCCGAAGGAACTGCTAATTAGGAATAAATGACAAAAGAGGAGAATTAAAGAACTTACCCCTTCTTTCTTGCCTTGCCAAAGCATTTTCCTTTTTTTCTCTTGCTCAGCAAATTTCATTGGATTCACAGCTGCTGGGTTATAATAGCTAGGTACAGCTATTCCGGTCTCTGCCAAAGCTTTAGCCTGCAGGGCAGCCATTTGAGCTGCCATAGCTATCTGAGGAGTTACTTGCGTTCCTGATGCCAACAAGGCAGCAACATTGAGCACAGAACCTCCAGTGGCTGCAGCTGCTGAGAGAGAAGCATAGATTTAAAACTAACCAAAACCAACCCTCCTGATTTACAGTAGTGCATTTATATATAAGAACTAACCTAACAAAAAGGCAGAATACTTTTACCAAAATAATGACGTTAGTTTATAAAGCAATTAACATTTTAGGAAAAATTTAGTGAAAATATTTATAAACAGACATTTCTGGATATGATCCCTTATATGTACTAACACTTTACATATCTAAAAATAGTAAGAATTCTACAAATAGTAAAAAGATTTGTGATTTCAAAGAAAATGAATTATGATACTTGTACGTAGCTAAACTTGTAAAAACAAATACTTCTGTATGGTTAAGAGCTTACAAAATGGTTATTTAGACATTCATTTGAAATTCTTAACAAACATTTAAGATATTAAACAAGTATGATGCATATTTAACAAATCCAAAGCCTAAATCCTACAGAAGTTAAATGCCATGCCTGGTATTTCCATTTTAAGTGATTCAGTCAGGAATGGAGTCAATTTTTTGTAAACAGAAAGACTGTTCTGATTACATATTTTTCTGTCATCCCAGAATATAAGCTTAGAAAGTTCTTTTAATTACTAATACTATGGGAATCCAGTTAGGAAAGTTTTGTTCTCATCACGTATTAAAAGTAAAATGGTGGGGGTGCCTGGGTGGCTGAGGCGGTTGAGCTTCCAACTCTTGATTTCGGCTCAGGTCATATCTCAGGGTTGTGAGATCAAGCCCTGCATTGGGCTCCGAGCTGGGAGTGGAACCTACTTAAGATTCTCTCCCTTCCTCTCCCTCTGCTTCACCCTCCATGCCCATCTAAAATAAATGAATACATAAAGGCAATCTGTACGATTTCTTAGTATTTTTAAAAACATTTATTAAGTAATCTACACCCAATCTAATCACAACCCTGAGATTGAGAGTTGCATGCTCTAGCACCTGAGTCTGCCAGGCATACACAATTTGTACAATTTCTGATTATTTCAAGAAGTACCGATTTACTAGGAATGTCAAAAAAAAAAACACCTTCCAGATTACATTTCATGTAATTCAGTAAGCTCTCTGATCACCTTCAATCACCCACAAGCAATGTTTGTGTTGTCTAATAACCTGATTTCTTATCCTAGTTCAGTCATTATTTTAATAAACTTAATAAAATCATGACTAAAAGACATGTGCAGTGATGGCTAAAGTGTTATATGAATAAGAACAGTGACTGTCAAAATCAGGCCATCAACCAAGTAAGAAATACATATGCATTGGGCGCCTGGGTGGCTCAGTTGGTTAAGCGACTGCCTTTGGCTCAGGTCATGATCCTGGAGTCCCGGGATCAAGTCCCACCATCGGGCTCCCTGCTCAGCAGGGAGTCTGCTTCTCCCTCTGACCCTCCTCCCTCCCATGTTCTCTGTCTCTCATTCTCTCTCGCAAATAAATGAAAAAATCTTAAAAAAAAAAATACATATGCATGAAGAATTTATGAGGTATGAAAGTTAACATTAAAAATAAAATGTTCACATTTCAGTAATAACAACAGATTTACAGTGCACTGACAGGTAGCAAGGATCATGGTGATTTTCTTCCTGTATTTTTCTGAGCTTTTCAGATTTTCTACAAAGAAATGCCATACTTCCATAGTAAAGAAAATAGATTACCTGCAGCTATTTCTTGTTGTTTTTGTTTTTCAACCATTTCCTTTTCTCGCTGTTCTTGTAATTTCTTTGCTCTTTCCAACCTGTCAAAGACAATTTTAATAAATTTAAAATAATGCTCAATATAAATCCCTATTTATCTTTGTATTTCTCCACATGTATAGAAACGAAACACTTAACATAGAATTTTAAATTAAGACCAACACAAATTGGTATCTGTATGTGGGGAAAAAAAGCATTCAGTCTTAAGATAGTCACAGTTAAAGAGTATTTCAATACTGGTTTTAAACATTTTTAAATTCATGAATAGCCAAAAAACTGGAATAGCTTTTACATAGTTCCCACAGAGAATAGTTTTAAAAAATAAAAATTATTCAACCCTTATCAGTGTTGGTTGTAGCAGTAAGGATAAAATTACATCTTGCAAATGACATATTGAGAACTGAGTAAGTCTTAGGGTACGTTAAAGGTAGTAAACAATGTTTACAGAATTACCTACATGCTTCTTGGGGGAAGCGGATATAGGATAAGGCCAATCGAAACATAACAATTACGACTTTTGTATTTAAACAGACTTTATCATAGCCTTAAATTAGTAAAAATTAAAAAGCCAAAAGTAAAAAAGGGGCAAATAAACCCTATTTGCCATTCTCTATAATCTAATAAAATGGGGGAAAATTATTAGGGAATTAACTTTTAGCAGCTTAAGCAATTTATCATTTGCAATGGAACTAGAAATATGAAACACAAATTCATCCTCAGACAAAATAGAGACTGTAGTTCACACTAAATTTACTAATAAATACATATACTAAATGTACTGTCAAGTCATTATCTACTTTTTATACAGCAAATTGTTAATATCACCTTCATGAGTTCCTGAAAGAGAAACCTCTTTTCTTCAAGACTCCTTGATTTCCCAATCATAAGTTAAAAGCCAACCCCTTCCTCCTTTACTGTGGTATAAAGGGGCAAAGATTAAGGAAAAGGTTTTTTGTTTTGGGGTACTACGGGTAGGAAAATGGCATCGGTTTTAACTGCTGAATTTACATAAAATGAATAAAACAATATAATTTTATTCCCTTTTATTGAGCACACATGCAAGAAAGACACAGTACAGACTTGATTTTGTCCTTGGGAATAAGTTTCTGATTAGGTCTAACATTAAAATGTTGGTACACAGATATTAAAACTATTTTCAAAGCAGTTCAAAAATTGTCCTTATTTATGGGGTGCCTGGGTGGCTCAGTCGTTAAGCGTCTGCCTTCGGCTCTGGTCATGATCCCAGGGTCCTGGGATCGAGCCCCGCATCGGGCTCCCTGCTCAGCAGGAAGCCTGCTTCTCCCTCTCCCACTCCCCCTGCTTGTG